TTTCCTTATGGTGCCACAAATGGCATCCTGGGGGTGGTGCCATTGGACAGGTAATCAGTGGGGTTTATGTTTTGAAAATCAGGACATATTTTTCAGGAAGTGTTTGTGTTTTTACTAAATTTGATTTTGAAAACCAGGTGTAGCAACTTTTTAGTAAATGGTGTGATCCATTCTTTGGTCATTTGGTTGTTTTGAATTTGAAATACAAATAGGTCACATGTACCTATAAGTACTTTTTAAAAATTTTTCTCAGTTTGGTCACTGGGTGAATTTAATTATTTTGGTCAGCTGAAGATATTAAATTGTGTATTATGCAGGAAAAATACAGGTGTTAGACGTATGATAATGCACATAGTATTACTAATACTATGTGGTATTCCTGATAAATAATTTATCTTTAACATGAAATTATGTATGTTAAGAGCCATTCTCTGTAATGACTTGAACTTTTATATAGGAGCTGTGGCACGCATAGTCTCAGAATTTCTCCAAACTCTCTATGATAAAAGTCTTTGATACCGTAAACTCAAATCAGGCAAAAATTGGTTGCTACGTGTCATGGTTACCATAGCAACATGTCCTAACGTTTGAAAAATGCCATTTTTCAACATGTTCAGAGTCCCCCAGTTAACGTTTGCAGCAAAGCAAACAAGTGGCAATGACTGTTTCTGAAAGTTGAAGGCCTGATGTCTTAAATGCATGATAAACATGTTTGGTAAATCAACTATTACATACGTTACTATGGAAACAAAGTATTCAAAAGTAATAATTTTGTTCATTTAATTTTATAAAGTCATATACTTAAGAATAAAAACAATTATAGGTTGAAATGCAAGCAAATAATAGACAAGAGATCCTTGTAACATATACCAAGGACAAAATATGATATTTCTTATAGGTTGGCAACAGTTGCTATGGTTTATTTACCTCGGAAGGATTTTAAATTTACTCTCTTAGTGTTTTAATCTTATCCTATCTTTTTAAAAAGCATATTTCTATATAACTGATGATCAATTTTTAAAGGCATTGGTGTGACCCTAATTTTCACATTTCAAAAAATTCAAACTCAATTCTTTAAATAGAGCGTTGCTATGGAAATTAGCCAAAAAAATATGCATAAAAATTTGAAAAATATTCTGTTTCCTTGGATACGCACCCTTGTAAGTAGATTCCCAAAACTTTTATGATTGATATATATGAACAACTAACCTGACTTTGAATTTTGACTACCACCCAATCTCTAACTGGATGCAAAAAGCTGGCACATAGGGTTTAATATTGATATAAAATTAACAAAATTGAACATTTTCCCTTCTTGGTAACCATAGCAACGGTGTTGTATTTTTCAACAAACTTTATCAATATATGATATTCAACTTTAGTTCTACCAGTTAAGTAGTATTCAAGGTGAGTCAAATAATATGTTTCTTGATTAAAAGGTAAGTAAATTCCTAAAGGAGCAAAAAATATCACTTTAAACGACTTATACGTTGTTTCCATGGTTACAATGCAAAGTAACATTTAATCCCAATTTTTCTTATGTTGTCGGTGTTGCAAGGTTCCAAGGATGCATATGTGTTAGTCATGAATTTTATTGTTTTTCCTCAAGATAATAGCATTAACCCAATCATAGCAACAGATTTTGCATGGTTATGCTGTGTAACCATGGCAACCATGAAAGTTATTTTTTTTATAATAATGCCAATACCTAATTACATAAGGTCAAATATTTTTTATTGTTTTTCTTAGGTTGTTGATTGAGTTTGATCATGTAACATCTATCATTGGTGAATATTGAGCGTTTTTCAGCATTTTTCAGCATCTAAAATGTATTCCAAATGTACCCATGGTTACCACTTACTAAGAGATAAATTCTAAATAGTTTCTTTATAGCATAAGTGGCAACAAGGTGTCATGTTTTTGAGAGAATGGTTTGTTTGTTTTTCTTAGTCTTTATTAAGGGGTAATAAAGATTCAAAGTAGCTGAAAATCTCAATTTTTTCAACTTTTCTGGCTGTTACCATGGCAACCAAGACACATAGCAACGAAATTTTATTTAATATATGTTTCTGGTGTCAAGTTGTAATAATGGGCAAAGTTTCATCAAAATCGGTCACCATGCGTGGCAAAGAAGTTTAAGTGGTTACAGAGAATCGCTATTAATTCACACAACGTATGCTCTTATTGTGCATGTTACATGTTATTAAGGCGGGACATGCATAAAACTTATTTACCTTACGATATTGTATTGTTACATTGACCATGTTGAGTTTGGCAACTGAATATTCATTATGAACGCAACATAGTTTTTTAGCTCACCTCAACGAAGTTGGGGGAGCTTATGTAATACCCTCGGCGTCGGCGTCGGCGTCCCAGGTTAAGGTTTTTGGAGCAGTTTTCTTTTCAAGTACTTCTATGGCCTATATTAGTCAGAGATGCATGGAGGATGCTTCTAGTGTGTTTTATTGTACCAGTCAAGGTTTCAGATGCTGCAATTTCAGCTAAAGAATGACCAGGTTAATGTTTTTGGAGCAGGTTAAAGTTTTTTGAGCAGGTTAAAGTTTTTGGAGCAGGTCTCATTTCCAAGTAACTATAAGCCCTATATTGACCAAACTTGCATGGATGATACATCTAAGGATGCACACTACTGGACTTGCTTCGGATGCTGGATCTGACCTATAGTTTCTGGATGAGTGACCAGGTTAAGGTTTTTGGAGCAGATCTCATTTCCAAGTAACTATAAGCCCTATACTGACCAAACTTGCATGGATGATACATCTAAGGATGCACACTACTGGACTTGCTTCGGATGCTGAATCTGACCTATATTTTATGGATGAGTGACCAGGTTAAAGTTTTTGGAGCAGATGTCATTTCCAAGTATCTATAAACCCTATATTGACCAAACTTGCATGGATGATACATCTAAGGATGCACACTACTGGACTTGCTTCGGATGCTGGATCTGACCTATATTTTCTGGATGAGTGATCAGGTTAAGGTTTTTGGAGCAGATCTCATTTCCAAGCCCTATATTGACCAAACTTGCATGGATGATACATCTAAGGATGCACACTACTGGACTTGCTTCGGATGCTGAATCTGACCTATATTTTATGGATGAGTGACCAGGTTAAAGTTTTTGGAGCAGATGTCATTTCCAAGTATCTATAAACCCTATATTGACCAAACTTGCATGGATGATACATCTAAGGATGCACACTACTGGACTTGCTTCGGATGCTGGATCTGACCTATATTTTCTGGATGAGTGATCAGGTTAAGGTTTTTGGAGCAGATCTCATTTCCAAGCCCTATATTGACCAAACTTGCATGGATGATACATCTAAGGATGCACACTACTGGACTTGCTTCGGATGCTGAATCTGACCTATATTTTCTGGATGAGTGACCAGGTTAAAGTTTTTGGAGCAGATGTCATTTCCAAGTATCTATAAACCCTATATTGACCGAACATGCATGGATGATACATTTAAGGATGCACAATACTGGACTTGCTTTGGATGCTGGATTTGACTTAAATTTTCTGGATGAGTGACCAGGTTAAAGTTTTTGGAGTAGATCTCATTTCCAAGTAACTATAAGGCTTATCTGAACCAAACTTGCATGGATGATGCATCAAGGGACGAACAATCTCAAAACTTGCTTCGGATGCTGGATTTGACTTACATTTTCTGGATGAGTGACTAGTTTTAAGTTTTCAGATAAGTCTATTCCCAAGTAACTGCAAGCCCTATCAGATCAAAATTGCATAAATGTTGCATCTAGGGATGCACACTCCTAGATTATTAGTTTAGTGTGGGACTTTGCCTTACTTAAAGACAACATTCGTTGAGGTGAGCTCTGTAATCTCTGATTACCTATGTTTTCCCTTTTTTTTCTTTTTGTAAACAAGTGATGTAATACCAGAGGAAACTTGATCAGTGGAACATGGTCGATATTTTTAGGATTTGTGTCATAACCATATGAAATTACTAGTATAAATGCATGTTTTATTCATTGTACAATATGTGCATGTCAATTTAATTCATTGTACAATATGTGCTTGTCGATTTAATTCATTGTACAATATGTGCTTGTCGATTTACATGTTGGGTAATGTTGACATTTGACCATCCACTAGCATTTGCAGAGATATGAGTGTACTTGTTTTGTAAACAGGGGGGCCACTTGAAGGTACACTGATATTTGCACTAGATATTTTGCAAACAAATAGGTATATTATGTACACTATCAATTCTCAAGAAATTACTGAGCTTCAAACAAGTCAAAGTAGAGGTAATTTTAGATAACAAGTAAGAAATTCTATAGCTAGTATTGACATAAGTTCAGAAAATCCCAATGGAAATGCATATCTGATTCACATTAAATCCCATTTGCAAACAGCAACCGTAGAAGTTTATCTTAAATTGAATCTTGTAAAATTTTAGGGGCTTTTACCAAAGATAGTTGTCACATTACCTCTGTAATGTTTCCTAGTCTTTTTATTTTTCATCTGTTCACCAAAATATTGAAATTCACGATAATCTTAATTAAAGTTTTAAAACCGTTAAATTATCAAAAAGATAATATTGGGACATGTACAAGTTATATATATATTAAAGAAGTCTGCTATTGTGGAGAAAACATTTTAAATGCCCTGTATATGAACATATGTTGTCATGTACAGTTAACTTGCGTTGTTCCTGAAAATATGTAAGAGCAAGTACATATATTCCCTCTATTTAAGAACAGTATCATATGATATGTGGGTGTTAAATTTTGTATTAGTCACATGAAATAATTTTGATAAAATTTGAAAATCTTGTCAGAACAACAGATGACAGTTAATTAATTAAGTGCATTTACAAGATGTAAATATTGCAAAACAACAGGATGTGGGAAATTCCATACAGGATTCTGCAAGTATTTTTAATATTCAGTGTGGGCGTACCTTGAGCATGTATACATTCTTTTGTTTGTTTGTTTTTTTCTCACAGCAGCAACATGTCCTATGGAAATGGGGCGTTATGCCACAGGTGTCATGAGGGGTTTGGAGCTAATGAGGAAATCGTCAACTCCAATGGAGAAATGTGGCACACACAGTGCTTTGTGTAAGTATACTCCACCCCTCTCTCCAGGTCCCTCCCATAACAGTTCATCCCAACATGAAAGGTCATTTATAGCTGTCTTACACATTAATGTAGGTTGGTACATGATAATTATAATCAACTTTGCAGAGGACAGTGGTTTACACATTCATACATACATAACAATGTAGGAAGAAATTCAGCTGACAATTTTGATCAGTTCTTCTCACTAGACTTTTTATTCATGAGCATAAAATATGAATTTTTATTATGTTGCTGAATTCATAGTTGAAAAACTATCTTTGATTTTTATGTGCACCTCTGAGAAAGAAATATCATACACTGTAGTAGTATGAATGCAACTTTTGTTCTTATAATTAAACAATTAAGAATGGTGAATGCAAAATTATTAGATGTTGCAGATGTTTATAACTCCCCAAACAACTGTCATATATACATGTACACACTGCAGTATCAATCATGCATGTCTTCTCATTTTAACACAATATGCAAAATAGTTAAGCATGTGAATTTTTAAGTGTTATTCCAAAACATGAATTAATATAAACTGGTTTACATGTAGTCATTAGAGGTGTGTAGATTCATTATTTACATAATATATACCCAGTAGAAATATTAACTATAATCATACGTAATGTGATTAAATTGTAAAGTTAGTAAGTTCAAGGTGAATGACAATATTGATTTTAGTGAGCAATTGTGAATGCTTGAAAACTTGACTTTGAAATGTGAGAGCTTTCTAATCCAATGATCTGCAGAGGTTTTTTCTTTCAAATTTTATTTTTGCAACTAAATAGCTAGAACTGTAGCTTGCATATACTTTTATTTGCTATGAAAAATAAGAAGTCCTCTTATCTTGTCTTGCATAGTGCATGTATTAATCTTTCCCTATAATTTATACTTCTGCATTCAAAATTTGATAGTCTAGAAATCTCAGAAAAACTGTCTTTATTTTAAGCTGCATTGTAATTAATTTGGTTAATCTTTTATTAACACCTCTTTTTATGGCTTTTAGAAATTGCTCTACATTTAGGTGAAATTCTCCAACATTAGGTAAATGTCCTTACGTCTTATTTGAATGTATGTGCCCGGTTAAAAATTATATGAGATGAATGCAGCTTTTGTAACAAGTTCAACATCATAAGATTGTTTTTTATTGTATTCTGATAAGTTTCTATCAGTACCTTATTTTATATCATGAATGTAGTTTACACATGATGAGCTCCCATATAGAAATTCGTTTGAATCTCATATAATTATATACATACATGTACAATTTATTGCCACCGCATATGTTTTTCATGTTAGGCTACAAAGTTTAGGAAGAAAGCCTGTATCCAGATAATTTAGAAAATCACTTCTTCCCTCTTTGTATTGAATCTGAGTGCTTTATATGATAGAGAGAAACCTAAAGTGACACCAGGATGTGCACATTTTCATTCTGAAATCAGGAACTTTTATAATCTGAATGCATGATTTCAGAGGATTGAATCTATGAAAATCTCACTGACTGGAATTCTTCAGTGACAGACTTGAAACTCCATTGTAACTGCTAACTTTTATATACTTGTAGTAAATGTGGAAATTTATGTGTGTACTTTTTGCTCTAATTGGTATGTTTCAACATATTATCTTTTAAAAAACAGAAATAAAAAATTCCAGTGCTGCTATCACATGGTTTTATTTCTCTCTACTTCCAATAAATTTCCACATTTACTTCATTGGCATACATTTTGTACTCTAAAGAATGCTTCCTGTATTTATGCTCTCACTGTTGCGTTCCGCATAGAAGCAGAAAAGCAAGACCAGCCCCAAGTTTTACATGCTCTAAATGTCAGGAGACCTTGTCTCCATGGGAACAGATGGTGAATTTTAATGGTCAGGTGTGGCATACAACCTGTTTTGTGTAAGTACTAACTGGGCTCAGGTATGAAACTAATGGGGGTATGAAGTTTTCAATAGAAAATGTATAAGGGTGGTGGTCCTAGTTGAATTTGGTGATTGCTATGTTTATTAAGACATTCTAAATTTTCCCTTTTTTCAGAAGGATATTTAATCTTTCTTTGATTCTATTTTTCTGAGGCTAAATATAATTTCAATTTTGTCTTTGCAATCTACCTTCACTTGTGAGATGGCTTCTTCCATATTGCTTATTTTAGCAGTTATTGCTAGCTTTAATGTATCTTTTGCTAGCCTTTGCACTGTTTTTCATACTGTATGACACCGCTTTGTGCAAATTAAGTTGCTTGTTTTTATTTTCCCAATTTTGCTTCAGCTTTATTATGCTTTTAGATAAAATTTCTTTCTTCATATTACCATATATACATGTACAATACATACATGTATCTTATATAAAATTTTGTATCAATTTTCATTTTCTTTAATACTGATTACTTAGCTTTTTGTACTCATAACTTTAGTTCCCTTCATATAAGGAGACCAGTAAAGGAAATATAGGTTGTTGAAAAGTTGGATGCAGAAGGAATTCAAATTGAATCTTTTTTTGTCCTTGTCTTTTCTAGCTGTGCCCAGTGCTTTCAACCTTTTCCTGAGGGGGTGTTTTATGAGGTAAGCCTTGTAATTTGTTTGGTATTAATATCTCCATTTATAAACTTTACTGATGCATGTCTTGTTATTTTTTATTCCATAGTAATGCATAGTAATACATGACAGGTTTAAGATTCTGTAAATGTAGATCAAGAAGTAAATTGTAAGCTTAATTTGAAAGATACACAAATTATGGTTCATTATTGTTTGTGTAGAAAACCACATTTATCATTTCTTATGTATTGGATATTATGATTCAGTAATACTGATATAATTAATTTATCAATCATCTCTGACTCACTACATTGTAGCATAAATATTTATAGTACAATCTCTTGAAGGTCACTTATTTTGTAGGCTGTTGTAGACTAGTGATCCTCAGACTCTGTATGAGCTGATGCATTCAGTGATGATCTTTTTATTTTCAGTTTGAAGGAAGAAAGTACTGTGAACATGACTTTCACGTCCTGTTTGCACCATGCTGCGGAAAGTGTCGTAAGGATATATTTTTTTTTTCACAATAGTCACATTCTTTCAGTAAAATTCATTTTGCTCATAGAAGAACTGTGTATGAAAACCTTTGTCAAAATAGTAAATCTGTATTATCTTTCCTTTTGATGAGTTCTCACATCTCTAGTATTTGAATCTCGACATGGAATTGAATTAAGAAAAAAATGAGAAGATAAAGAAATATATACTGGTGAAGAAAGCACATATAATAGTTCTAAATGAAGTCAGTACGTGTACATGTATTTCTGAAAGAAAAAAAAAAAATCTTAGAAGAATTTTCAATGCCTCAATATCTAATAATGAAATCAAAAATTAAAATGGAATTTTGTCATTTCCCTGTACAAAAAAATTGAATAGAAATGGAAGATAACTTTGACAGGAAACTGAAAGGTGCAGATATATTTTTTTTTTATTTTCTTAAAACTATTAAGTATGCAGCTTTATATTTTAAAAAAAATTCAAAAGGGGAGATAACTTCATTAAGAAGCAGCTTTGAATCCAAAACTGTTTATATTTGATAGGAGAGTTTATTGTGGGAAGAGTCATCAAGGCTATGAATAACAGCTGGCACCCCGATTGTTTCCGCTGCGAGATTTGTGAGGCTCCATTGGCAGATGAGGGCTTTGTCAAGAATGCTGGAAGGTATATTTCATCATTAAAAGCATCATCTCTTTTATTGTAGTTTCAGGAATGTGTAGGAAAATGATTACAAAAAAAAAAAAGGATCATTTACATTTGATAATTCAAAATAATTTTGAATCTTACTGACTAGGTTGTTAATAGATACAATGAACATGCTTATAACAAAGTGCCATGGATGGACAAGTTTACCTCATTATAAGCGTAATTCGTTATATCCAATTTGTTTACAATATACTTTTAAAATCATGGGGAATGAAAATCACTTTGCTGTAAGTGTTAATTCATTATAAGTGTGTTCGCTATAAGCATGTTTTACTGTATATGAATTTGTCTATTCTTTATTCTAAATTTTAAGTTTTAATGCAGTTTTATATTTAGTGTCTTTTGTGTGTTCATTAATATGAATTGCATTTTAGAGCCCTATGTCGGGAATGCAATGCCAAAGAGAAAGCCAAGGGTATGGGCAAATATGTGTGCCACAAATGTCAGTAAGTGTAAAATCCAACATTTTAAATTTCATATATTTAAGGAATAACTGTCTAATTTTTTGGTTTCATGATGTGATCAATCGATTGGCTTGCATGATAATTTGCGTAAACGTCGGAGGTGTTTATGCATAAAATTATCATGCAAGTCAATCGATTGATCATTGTCATGAAACCAAAAAATCTGACAGTTATTCCTTATATTTACATTCTCTTGATTCTGCAAATTCATATGCTACAAGCCCCGCTTCTGTCTCTATCTTTCCCGCCCCATACGTGATTTTTTTTTTAACCACGCCTGTTGATGAACCAGTAGATTTATGTAGAAATAAAGTATTTTTACTATTTGTAGTTTTATCTCGGACAAAGACATTGGAAATGTAAATATATAGTAGTAAAAAAAGTTACTTATTGGTTACATATATATATATTTTTAAAAGGAATAACTTGATTTTATGAATTCGCTAGAGGCTTGAACCTTTAATTGTTATTTAAAGCAATTCTGTTGAATTTCAGTGCCATCATTGATTCTGGACACATCAAGTTCAGGGGAGAGGCCTACCACCCTTACCACTTTAACTGCAGCTCTTGTGGGTAAGTTCTGAAAATACACTACTCTTCAAATTATTGTTATGAGATTTACAGTTTTCTACGGCTCCACTTAAAAGTAACCTTAAGCCCTTCCTGGACAAAACTGGTGTGGCTAGTACATCTAGAGATGCTGACTTTGTCTTCTTTAGGGTGCTGTTCATATATTGTAAATAATTAAAATACTACTTCATCAACAATGATGAATTTACGTAATAGATTTTATGGCTCATTCATTTTATATGCAGCTTTGTCTTACTTATAGACTGATGGTGGTACCCATCCTAATAATTGATTACTTTTTCTATTAATTATTGCATTAATACTTTGGGAAACACATTTAAGATAAGAATTTTCATTGTCACTATATCTGGTTTATAGATAATATTTTACATGATCTAAAGTTATGACTCATCCGACCAAGTCTTTCCATACACTAGAAAAGTGTACAAGTTTGTTTTTACAAATAGTTAATCACAAAACCTTTTCACCTCCAACAGCATCAAACTTGTTCAGTTGAAACAAGATACTGTATAATAGTTGATACCTATTAATATCAGTCAAAGATTAGAAAATGTTGGATCTGACTGGTTGGTACTAATCAGAAGTATTTTTATGTCCCTTAAAATGAATGGATCGTATTACATTAGAGTTGATTAGTTGCTACTGTAAATATACATATTTTGGCAGTTATCATATTTTAGCTTTTTAGCTCACCTGAGCTGAAAGCTCAAGTGAGCTTTTCTGATCACCCGTTGTCCGTCGTCCGTCCGTCTGTAAACTTTTCACATTTTTGACTTCTTCTCAAGAACCACTGGGCCAATTTTAACCAAACTTGGTACAAAGCAACCTTATGTGAAGGGGAGTTAAAATTGTAAAAATGAAGGACCAGGTCACCTTCAAAGGGGAGATAATCAAGAAAATACAAAAATTGGGTGGGGTCATTAAAAAATCTTCTTCTCAAGAACTACTGGGCCAGAAAAGCTGAAACTTATGTGGAAGCATGCTGGGGTAGTGTAGATTCTAAATTGTTCAAATCATGACCCCCGGGGGTAGGGCGGGGCCACAATAGGGAATCCAAGTTTTACATTGAAATATATAGGAAAAATCTTTAAAAATCTTCTTCTCAAGAACCACTGGACCTGAAAAGCTGAAACTTATGTGGAAGCATGCTGGGGTAGTGTAGATTCTAAATTGTTCAAATCATGACCCCCGGGGGTAGGGCGGGGCCACAATAGGGAATCCAAGTTTTACATTGAAATATATAGGAAAAATCTTTAAAAATCTTCTTCTCAAGAACCACTGGGCCAGAAAAGCTGAAACTAATGTGGAAGCATGCTGGGGAAGTTTAGATTCTAAATTGTTCAAATCATGACCCCCGGGGGTAGGGCGGGGCCACAATAGGGAATCCAAGTTTTACATTGAAATATATAGGAAAAATCTTTAAAAATCTTCTTCTCAAGAAGCACTGGACCTGAAAAGCTGAAACTTATGTGGAAGCATGCTGGGGTAGTGTAGATTCTAAATTGTTCAAATCGTGACCCCCGGGGGTAGGGCGGGGCCACAATAGGGAATCCAAGTTTTACATTGAAATATATAGGAAAAATCTTTAAAAATCTTCTTCTCAAGAACCACTGGGCCAGAAAAGCTGAAACTTATGTGGAAGCATGCTGGGGTAGTGTAGATTCTAAATTGTTCAAATCATGACCCCCGGGGGTAGGGCGGGGCCACAATAGGGAATCCAAGTTTTACATTGAAATATATAGGAAAAATCTTTAAAAATCTTCTTCTCAAGAACCACTGAGCCAGAAAAGCTGAAACTTATGTGGAAGCATCCTGGGGTAGTGTAAATTCTAAATTGTTCAAATCATGACCCTCGGGGGTAGGGCGGGGCCACAATAGGGAATCCAAGTTTTACATTGAAATATATAGGAAAAATCTTTAAAAATCTTCTTCTCAAGAACCACTGGGCCAGAAAAGCTGAAACTTATGTGGAAGCATGCTGGGGTAGTGTAGATTCTAAATTGTTCAAATCATGACCCCCGGGGGTAGGGCGGGGCCACAATAGGGAATCCAAGTTTTACATTGAAATATATAGGAAAAATCTTTAAAAATCTTCTTCTCAAGAACCACTGGGCCAGAAAAGCTAAAACTTATGTGGAAGCATGCTGGGGTAGTGTAGATTCTGAATTGTTCAAATCATGACCCCCGGGGGTAGGGCGGGGCCACAATAGGGAATCCAAGTTTTACATTGAAATATATAGGAAAAATCTTTAAAAATCTTCTTCTCAAGAAGCACTGGACCTGAAAAGCTGAAACTTATGTGGAAGCATGCTGGGGTAGTGTAGATTCTAAATTGTTCAAATTATGACCCCCGGGGGTAGGGCGGGGCCACAATAGGGAATCCAAGTTTTACATTGAAATATATAGGAAAAATCTTTGAAAATCTTCTTCTCAAGAACCACTGGGCCAGAAAAGCTGAAACTTATGTGGAAGCATGCTGGGGAAGTGTAGATTCTAAATTGTTCAAATCATGACCCCCAGGGGTAGGGCGGGGCCACAATAGGGAATCCAATTTTTACATTGAAATATATAGGAAAAATCTTTAAAAATCTTCTCAAGAACCACTGGGCCAGATAAGCTGAAACTTACTTGGAAGCATCCTGGGGTAGTGTAGATTCCAATTGTTCAAATCATGACCCTTGGGGATAGGGCGGGGCCACAATAAGTACTACGGGGGGGGGGGGGGGGAATCAGGTGAAAAACAGCAAGGCCAAAGTTACTCAGGTGAGCGCTGTGGCCCATGGGCCTCTTGTTTGTGCTGCTTCTTGTTTGCTAACTAATGTAAATACGTGTACCAAAAGGCCAATACAGTTGAATACGCTTATAGCAAAGCACCAGGGATGAATAATTTTGATTAGTTATAAACATGATTCGTTATATCCATCAAGTTCATAATATGATTTAAAACTGCAAGGAATGAATATTACTTCACTGAAAGCATGAATTCATTATAAGTGTGTTCGCTGTAACCATGTTTTACTGTATACGATTAGAACAGTCAAGTAATACATGATGGTTTTTAAAACTGTATTTTATGTATGATTGTGCTAATCAGTTGAGTAGATAGACTGCCAAATTTTGAGTCCACTGATTCATGAACATTTACAGTATTGGTTGATTACTTTTTTCTTGTATGGTTTACCTCCCTTTATTTATAGTTCGGAGCTGAATGCAGATGCTAGGGAGAAGTCAGGAGAACTTTATTGTCTACGCTGCCATGATAAAATGGGAATCCCCATCTGTGGGGCGTGCAGGTTAGCCTCAGTAATCTAGAATTAACATTGAGATTCTATTTGTCCACATTCAGTAAACATATTTAAGGTAATAATTTTTCGATAACCTTTTCTTTATGCAAGCAAAAAGTGCTTGAATTTCTCTGGTAGTACATAAGAATTTATTCTTGTGTATTTTGTAGGCGTCCTATTGAAGAGAGAGTTGTACATGCCTTAGGGAAAGCTTGGCATGTAGAGGTAAGAATTGTTCTAATGAATACACAAAAATTGTTAGGAGTAAAAATTAATTTTACTATGAAGAATATCACAGATCCCTAAAAATTTATTTACAAAGGTATTGATAACGGATATATAAATAAATTAAATATGTCATGTCCTGAAGTGTTGCTGTATTTAATGTCTTTACATGTGTATTTGCAGCATAAAATGTCACCAAATTAGCCGAATTTTATTTGAAACATGGAAGCGCAATTCTTTAAAAAAAAATTTTTACTTATTAACATTTAGATTAAGTATTAAACAATGATGTTTCTTGATTTCAGCATTTCGTATGTGCTAAATGTGAGCGTCCATTTTTTGGAACTCGTCACTATGAAAAGAAGGGTCTGGCATACTGTGAAACTCATTACCATCAGGTATGTTAAGCTTCAGTTCAAGTGACTAAATAGCCACTCTGATCATCATCAAAACTTCCTGAATCATTTAAGTAAGGTACTTTAGTTCTGATACGGAGTAGCTATCATTTGATAAATCTGATTCACTGTGCAGAACTGATTTATGGTATTTAGGAGAAAGGTTAGTTTACTTGTATCATTGGGATGTCATCAAATGTTTTCAAAGTTACCTCGGTTTTAATGGTTTTTTAAAAAAAATTACATGTGCCTTGATATGTAAACATGGTAGCTTTTACACTATTATTGTAGTCATTGTTACCTGAATATTTAGATTTCATTTTTTGGTGATTTTTTTTAATATTGAATGAAGTATTAAAGATAACTGGTATCCTGTTTCAAATGTTACATTAATTTTATTGACAGCCTTTAAGTTTTTTGCCATCTCTGTTGTTGTTACAGATGTTCAGTGTATGTAAAATGCGCACATTGCAAAGGAAAATTTAACAAAATTTATTATCATTTTCTTTCATTTTTTGTAAAATTATCATGTACTCAGATACACTAACAAGCTATATCAAGCTGCATTAGCTTTCAAAATAGATACAGCTACATTATATACAATTAAGATATGTGTACTCATGCAAAAGAGATGCAGTACATACCAGCTTATTATTTACTAGAGAAAGTAAATGCAGATATTTTTTAATATGCAATTGAAAATTTATAGTATTTACAGGTATATATATTTAAGAAGTGAACATTTTGAAGACATTTTCAATAAAAATGAGAATTAGCTTTTTTATTTTTTCTTTTCTTTTCTTTCAGCTGTTTGGAAATATTTGCTTTGTTTGCAACAATGTTGTCACTGGTGATGGTAAGTAATAATGATTACTGGCACAAGGGAAATAATACCATCCTCTCTCTGTCTGGATTTTGTTGTAAATCATGTATACCTTTATAGGATGGCAAAATAAATCTAAATTGCTCCATTGATATTCCATTTTTTCTGTGTATTTCTTTTGACTGTACATGTACACAATTTTTTATTTAAAATTTTATTGATCTGTTTCTTAAATGTTTTCCTTGGTATAGTTCAACACTTCAGTATGCTGAATTCTTATATCTTTTAAAAGTATGTTGGTTTGGTTCTCTAATGTTTTCCTTGGTACAGATCAACACTTCAGTATGCTGAATTCTGATATCTTTTACAGTGTTTGGTGCCTTTAACAAGTCGTGGTGTGTAGGCCATTTTGCATGTTCTATCTGCGACAGGAAAATGAGTCACAAGTGAGTACATATGTTATCTCACTCATCTGCTGTAGGTTACATGGTAGAATCTGAAGCCAGCAGTGACCTATATCTGGTAATCAGTGAATCAAGCAATAAAAGAAACTTATCATTAGTGCAATCAGAAAAGAACGTCAGTATGCTCAGCAGCATTACTATCAGTGTATACATGCAGTGCTAGCTTCCAAATCATTGAAACAATTCTGGTTTTGTATTTAAAATTGAAATATAGTTGAATTATAAAAAAAAAATAAATAAATACATGTTCTGTAAAAATAATATGTTTGAATAAAATAATAATATTAATAGTTTGACTTTCATACTTAATAATAAACACTGGTTTTTAGACAGCTTTCAGCTACTGTCAGCAGTATTATTTGTACCTTAGCAAACATTGATGCTTTAAAGCAGGGAAATAGTTATAAGTAATGTGAAAATTTCTGAATAAGAAACATTCAAATTATTCCTAGTATGAATTTATGATTCTAAAACATTCAACATAGCTTAAATGATTGATTGTGTATGTTTATTACTGACTAATTGAAGTCCAATGGAAGTATTTTTAAAAGGTTCATAGTACCAGTATGTCTTCTTTAATGAAAATCAATCCTTATCAATCTTTATTTTTCAAAAACTTAGAAAACCTGGATGGCAGTTTACTTTTATCTTCGATTTTTTTTTTTTTTTACACTAAGAAAAAGTTTCTTTGTGTATTTTCTTTTATGAGGTATATCTTTTTTTTTCTTTAGAACAAAGTTCTTTGAATTTGATCTGAAGCCTGTGTGTCGTGTATGTCATGAAAAATTTCCTGGGGAACTTAAGAAGCGACTCAAGAAATACCATGAGGAAGTCTCCAAGAAACAGATAATGTCCAATAGCTAGATATTTATTTAATTAATTGACTGTGGAATGAAAGTCAGCATTACCGGAGAAGGAATAGTACAACAGATTAAAACTGAGAAGAGGATGTATAAACTGGAGATGTTAAAGGATAGATGTGTAGTAAAGAAAAAAAATAAGGAAACCATAGTTTTTATTTTCTTAATTTTGAATTTGACTTACTGTAAACCAACTGTTATTTGTGACATCTCTATTATTCACGATTTGTCAGTTTGAAATTCATTCATGATTACTAATTTTTTGAAACTGAGGAAACATTTAGCAGAAACTCACAAGGAAATAATTTGTTCCTGGCGAGAAAAGAAGGTCTTGAAACTTATGGATATCTCTTGCAAGCGAGTAAAAGTTGGTTTACAGTATTTGATAAAAAATTCTGAGAGAAATACTTTTTCTAGCGTAAAGGTTAACAAGATTACTTGTGATGTACATGAAGTACTATGTAGAACAATACTGCTTTGTCTCCTTTTGATTTCACATTGATGATAAATTTACTGATTTGCTGGAAAGAACTTTTTTAAAAGATGAAATATGTTTGACTGCTGTTTTTATACTCAATTTTGCTTTTTCATTTATAGCAATAATTTTTTAAAATGACAAATATATAGCTTATTAGAAACTTAGAAAACCATTGTAATTGGAAACAGTGGACAGAAAAAATGCCTTTAGGTCAGAAATTAGTGTTTGTAAACATTAGCACATGTTTACTTTTATAAAAGTTGCACCATATAAATTCAGTAAAACAAACACCTACTGGCAGGAAATTTGCAGTTATACTTTGTTAAAATTCTGTTTAAAATTGTTTGACATGTTGATTATATTGTATGTATAGCCATCCATAAGGTGGACACTTTGTAAATCGGTGAAAGTTTAATGACCAATCAGGGTTCCAACACTGATTTCCTATTACATGGTGTTGCTGTTTTTTTGCATGGTTTAGTGGCTTACAGGGTCTAGTATGTGCATTGTTATGTTAATGTATACCACGATTCATTTTGGTGATGTTTATGTATTTTTTTTTGTGGTAAGTTGTTCCTCTCTATAATAGATTGTGGGGATCTTGGAACAACATATTGTAACAGAAGTGCTTTTTGAGTTTTAATGATTGAATTGTACTGGAGAATGCTGCAAAGTCATAAAGATTGAATAAGTGTTCATAATACATAATATTACCACAATTACATAATGTATTAAAATATCTTCATGAGAACATCTCTGTGCTACTGATATTATTTCTTGCACCCTTTTGAGAATTAGTTATCCTTGATTTGATTGAAAAATCATCACATTACAGCAAGAAATGTCAACAAAATGACAGAAAAGATGAGAGAAGCACATGAAAAAGGAAATGTAGCGAATTATAAATCCATCCATATAGCTGTTCATGTAGTCAAGATAGAGTTTGACTTCTGCTGTGACAATCTTAGTGATAATTGAATATAAATTTGAAGTAATAGAAATCTATTTTCATGTAAAGAAGTCTAAAACGGGGGTTTGAAGGTGTTTGTCTCTTAATTATGCACTTTACAAAGATAAATATTTTTTTTTTTTCAATAGATTTATTAAATTGATTCAGAGTGATTAAATTCATTAATATGTGCTGCCATGTTAGAAAGATTTGTCAATGCTTTTGCAAAAAGAACTCTAAATTGCATTTTGTAATCAATTATTAGAGCTTATTAGCAAGAGTAGACAACTCTGTCATATTTATGTGTTCCATATCACTGAAAACTGCTGATCTATAAAACCTTTACATGTAGTTTGCTTAATATCAGACAATATCAGTTTTGTATAAAGATATTTCCTTATGGGTACAGTTAGCCTTTTTACTTCTAGATGTTATTACTTTAATAATAGCTTCTATGCATGATTAATGTCTGTGATTGTGTAAATAGTGATTTATGAAATATAATGTTTGTGTATATATGTGTATGAATGTCTATTTATGAAATATACTTGATAGACTTATTCCCAGATTTTATTGTTTATTCAGGAAGAATCTGTAATACGTGTCTTTTCTTCAACAAAAAAAAAATTGCCCTAAAACAAGAACGAAACCAAAAATATAGAACTGAGATGCTGAGGCATTATCCATCTTTGCTTGCCAAGGGTTTCCGAACCGATTTCGGATCGGAAACCCTTGGCAAGCGAAGATGGGGTATTACCTTGCTTATTAGCTCTCCTGAGCCAAGGTCTCACAGAGTCAATGCTATGACCATTTGTGCGGTGTGTGTCGGCTTTTTTGAATGTGGGTCATATCTCAAGAACTCTTTGGCCAATTTTTGTCAGAGATTGCCCTTGGCCCAAGATAGTTGCAGATCGGTAGTTCGCTGGTGGTGGGAATAAATATGGGATGGACGATCAGAGCCATCTTTTGAAAAAAGTGTATATTTATAGCGCAGAAAAAATGTGCTGTATCTCGATTTAATTCTTCATATGTTGGAATTTCATAGTTTTGAATGTTTAGGATTCTAAGAGACTTAGAATCATCAAACTTTGTCTATTGATGCGTCTTTGGTTCTAGAGGCGTGTCAACTAAAATTAAGTCACAGTTCTTTTTGAATTTTACATCATAAAATATCGTAACTTCAATAATTTGGACACTATTACATATAGGGTCACCAATCTTCAATACTTCATGTTTTTGTTGTCCGGCCGGGATATATCAATTCAAAGGTGAAGCCAAATTTTACATGTATGCAATTTTTACTCTTGGTGTGAATATTTTTGCGATGCGTTCACATGCACTCTCAAACTGTAAGTCAGGATGAAGTTTGCAATTTCTTTAAGTATTGTGTAAATACTTGTTTTGACTTTTTAGTTGCTCTTCTACTCGGAGTTCCTCCCATGCACTTTGAACATTGTCATTTGTTGTTTAAATGCTACATCAAATAATAATTGGACTTAATGATACAACAGATGGTCACTGTTCTTTCTGATATATCCCTAACAAAAATTTACTATAGTTAACTAAAGTAAAAACTTTGATACTTTGATTGACTATGAAACTTTACTCTGGAACTTTTTTTTTATATTTCAAGGCTTAAAAATTCTTAAATTCGGTAACAGTGATATGAAATGTGGAAATAATATGTGAATATACAAATAATAGTTCCATTTCATTTAAAAAATGTGCATTTTGTAAAAAAAATAAAAATGTGTGTATGAATTGAAGAACAAAAAAATATAACAATCTGAAATCCATAGTAAAAATACTTTAATTTACTATAGTAAAAACTTTGATTTACTATAGTAAAAAATACTTTGATTTACTATAGTAAAAAATACTTTAATTTACTATAGTAAAAACTTTGATTTACTATAGTAAAACATACTTTGATTTACTATAGTAAAAAAAACTTTGATTTACTATAGTAAAAACTTTGATTTACTATAGTAAAAAATACTTTGATTTACTATAGTAAAAAAACTTTGATTTACTATAGTAAAAAATACTTTGATTTACTATAATAAAAAATACTTTGATTTACTATAGTAAAAAATACTTTGATTTACTATAGTAAAAAATACTTTGATTTACTATAGTAAAAAATACTTTGATTTACTATAATAAAAAATACTTTGATTCTATAGCAAACTATAGTTTACTATAGTATTTTTTGTCAGGGATTGTACAAAAGATGAATTTGTCTGTAAACAATTTTTCAAAATGCTTCTCCTCCTTCTTCTCTTTTAATTTGGTATTATTTCAGTATAACTTGGTACACAAGTAGGCTACAGTTAGATTCATAATTCTGTATATTGGTCTTTTATTTTTGATAAACGGGGTTGCCACATGCAGTTACTTAAAATATACATTTCTGTGAAATTCTTTCAAAGGCAACTCCTGTTAAAGTTTTGGTCGTATTTCAATAGAACTTTCTACTTAAGTAGACTCCACTAAGATACGTAATTCTTTTTATCTTGTTTTTGATGAACGGCTCTGTCATGGTTTTTTAAAAATAAAAATTTCTGTGAAATTCTTTCAAAAAGACACCGTTCTTACAGTTTTGATCCGATTCCAATTAAACCTTTTACACAAGTAGACTATACTCAGACATAACTCTGTTTATCAGTTTTTGATTTCGGTAAATGGTGTTGACATGGTCACTAAAAAGAGAAATTTAAAAAATGTCACTCCTACAGCTTTGGTCCAGTTTCAATAAAAATGATACACAAATTACTTAGAAGTTACTAAAGATGTTGCCATGGTTACTCAAAATAGAAATTTCTGTGACATTCTCTATTACAGTTTTTGTCCATTTCTAATTTACTTGACAAAAAAAGAGACTACATCAAGGATCATTATTTTATTTATTGCCATAGTTTCAAGTCCAAGTGCTACTTTTCTCTACCTTTGTAAGTAAAAACCAAATAGGGCTACAGCTTCGTCAGAGACTTATAGTTTTTTTTCTCTCTAAAATTTCTCCATCTCCAACGACCATGCACCATATATCACTTTATATGTTTAACATCAACCTTGAGTTTAAATCAGACCAAGGTTGCTCTTTTATCATTCTGAATGATAGCGTTAGGCTGAAAGAATAAACACAAATGAAGGTCATATAAAGTAAACACCGAAACTATAGTATAATTTTAAAGGGGGGGGAGGGGTAAAGTTCATTACGATGGGTGTTAATACACTATGTGTTACACGATACACTTAATTGCAATAGATTTATGAACAACAAAAGTAAACCAAAATTTTAAACAACTGCAAGTGAAGCCATTCCGACTGATAGCTGAAATCTGCAGTCTGAACGTTTATTTATTTTTTCTCGCATGAAATTAAAATCTGTACAATCTGCGAACTGTTGCTCTGATTTTGAGATGTCCATATCATGTATTTTTTTTTTATTTACTGGGTGGATGTAAATACAAAAATTTAAAAAAAAATGTATTAACCTCAACCCAGTAAATTAAAAGTTTATAACATAATATCCAGCAGGGGGTCGTAACATAAAGCTTGCTAAGTTTTTGACTTAAGTAGGGTCATAAGTATGTTTTAGGTGCAATCTTAGGACCTGCCTAAGTACTACTTAAGTATTTCTTAAACCGTAACATAAAACGGACTTAGGTAGGTCTTAGCTAAGTCAAACTTATGTTCAAAATATTTGTTATGAATCATCCTTGTTTTTCAATTTGTTTATATATATATTTGTAAAAATTAGTTACGTTTTTAATCACATATATATTAAAGCCGACGTCCTTACCTATCGGTTTTAGCTAGGTTAGATATTAGATTTCGTATTTAATTAAAGTTAATTCTGTTTAAATTATTCGAAATACAATGTATTTGAAAACAAATACTGCACGGCTACAAAGTGGCGCTAGTGGTTCCTTGTAAATGCGTGAATATTGTTTATCACTCGAGACTGCTATGTTTTCAGTTTACCGTTTGTTGTTTTTTTTTTCGTTTGACAAATGTTCACTTGCTTTCAAATTGTCATTCTCGCAGACATGGCACGATAACCGAACGTTTGTGTACTTGAAATTGGAACTCTAATTAAAAAAAACAAACAATAGGGACATTTTGATTTTTTCCCTCCCATATCAGCAAGCAGAGACTGCAGACGTTTTATGATATACTTATTTACAATTTAATGAAGCATGGAAAAGAATTGTTTTCAGAAAATAATTTTTCGTATATCTCCAACTTATCAACAATTCTCTCTCTCTCTCTCTCTCTCTAGCGTTAACGGTAATGAACTCTGTCTGAATACTCGCTTGTTGCGTTCTACATTCTAATTTACAGAAAATCTTTATTTGTTTTCTAGTCATCATCCTTTAATTCATCGACAATTTTTAAAATCATTTCATCTCATTTTTTCACAGTTAACAAACAAAGCCAAGATTACTGTATACAATTTACTTATAATGATCAGTGTTTATAACCTAGGTCACACTAATATTTCAAACGTATCCCAAAAATAATATTTTGCATTTACGTGTATATGTCATTTAGAGAGTGATATTGGAATCAGTGATGAATACCCCCCCCCCCCCCCCAAACGAAAAACTAAAATTCTTATATCAGTATATATCAAATATAGAAAATTATTTTTTAATGCATAACATAAAAAGAGGAATGTTTTTACATAGAAATTCAACCTAAAATAGTTCTGAATAGATGTTTAAGAAAGTTAAGACATACATGTACTTAAGTTACCTCTACCGGCCGCCTAAGTTTTGCTAAGATTGTCAAATCTTAGCACGTTTCTAGTTACGGTCTTAAGTTTAAGACTGTACTTAAGTCCTACTTAAGCATGGTCTTAGACTTAAGTACCCTTTATGTTACGACCCCCAGATCGAAAACTGTATTTAATCTGCTTGAGCGATTACTGTACAGTAGTTTTATACGGTAAACATGAGACTAAATTAAGTGTGTGTGCATAATACTAAACTATCTTTGTATTACTAAAATGTACTTTGAGCTTTCTTGTTCTGAAAAATAATGATTAAAATTATCTCTATCTAAAATGCCATTTATGCATGATATCCGATTTTACCATGGGGTATGCGCAGGCGACACGTTTTCCTTGAACCTCATCGTATTGACCTGACTATTTTGGTCCTGTTTTTTACTCCCAGGAAAAAAAAAATAACATAAACCTGATTTACTTTCTATTTTGAAGGTCAACTCAAAATAAATATTGCTATCAATGTTTTATTACTTCAAATGATACACATTTATCACTGTGCTGACACTAAGTTTACGATCCTGAATGTATATGCATAAACATGTAAAGCAAACTGAAAGTTTGAGAAAAATCGCTTGGAAGAGAACAATCTCTTTTTTAAAACGTGTTGACATATAGGATGTATCTTTACTGAATGACACGCGATCGGGTGAGCATATACTGGCCAATTAGTCTTGTCTGATAGAATTTCTCCCATATGTTTAGATCCGTTGTTCCCTTCTGATAAAGAGGTTGTATCCACTCCCCCTCAACTGTGTACAATATGAC